ATTTTATCTTTTTCAGTCTACAATAATTTTGCATCAATGGTTTGTTTATTTACAGGCGAGTCTTAGAAAACGCGCCGAAGGGTTCACTTGATTTTTTCCTCAAGTGATTGAATTCACAATGTCGAAAATCACGAACTAAAATAGAAAGTATGTGGAATACATAGTGAGAGACTGATATAACACAGACAATGGTCTAAGTATTGCTTCTCGTGCTAACGAAATCTTTAAAATCACTTTTTGTAAATTAAATTGAATAAAAAATGACTGTCAATAACTACTACTAATGCCTCCGAGTATGGAACAGTAACTTATAAATCAATACAAAATGCATTGGTGGATGACAGGTTTCCCTTTTATCACCACCTTATTTATCAGAATAGGTTTGTCTTGCAATACTTCAGAGTTGCTCTTGTCCGCAAAACATCTCTTCGCTCGGTGGCAGTCCCAAAGGCATGCAGTGTGTGTATATATACAATTCACAAACAATAATAAAAAGATATTCGATCGAAAAAAAATCATGAACGATAAGAGCCCGAGTTTCCTCTGGCCCCACACCAGACATCTATACATCTATATATGTCAAAATGTCGAAGTCTGGTGTTAGGGCCAGGGGAAACTCGTTCTAGATATGAGTGTGAATAAAAAAAAAAGGTTTCGTCCATCTTGTCTTTCCAGAATATTTCTAAAAGAGTTTTTTATCAATGACATCAGGTTCTTGGATTTAACACGTAGAGCTTCACCACAAAGTCACATGATTCATTTGGTTCCATTACAATATATTACAATGTACAATTGGATGGTTAAATACTACGTAAAGCTAAGAAGAGTCCCGTGTCTCGAGCCTGCATTGTCCCGATAGGCTATACATAAAAGGTAGGTGTGACCTAGATTGCGACATTAGTCAGAACACATACCGCTCTATATACAATACACAGAATGCAGGTCCGGCTTCGTTTATATTGTGAGCTTGAAAATATTTTTATGTCACAAACTTAACACAAAGTAATTCAAAACATTCTTGCATGAAATTCACGACTATTTACTTGGAGCAAGAAATGGGGATCAGAGTTAAGGCACAACTATAACAGCCTAGCTATAAGTGATGTTTTTCTTATAGATTTAACGCGATACTTCACATAGGAGAAGAACTATACTTTGAGCGAGACTTGTTGAAACTCTGTCATATGTCGTGGGTAACTGAATGTACTGCAGAAGTATGTCAGTCCGTGGGTAGTGTAGGGGTTTAAAATAGAAGTCTACCTCACGTCTCTTACATTTAGTGTCGGGTATACTGTTTAGGTATTTTATAAAGTCCTTGATGTTTTTAAACACTTTTTGGGCCTCCACGTTTCGTGGAATCTTATCACAAAACTGAAGTATAAAAATGTACAGACAACTTTTTGTAATCTTTGAAACTATTCACATAAGGTAAAATGTACTTGGACGTGCAAAAGAACACGAATCTTAATTTCGAACGTACGTTAATCATGTAGGCGTCTGTGAAAGTTATCGTCTCCAGTAAGGACATTTATTAAGTTGTCCGGTGACGAAATATATTTTCCGGACGTTGCAGATAGCACGTATATATATATTGTACACACTTTCCGGACGTTGCAGATATAACACGTATGTATATTGTACACATGAATACGGATTAGAAATAGATGTGTATTTCGTGCAATAAAAGAGTATTATATTTTGCTTTTTCTTTTTCTTTTTCTATATATACTTGGTTTAACCTTTTAACGTACTTACAAAAAAATGAATTTCTGCAAAACACAACTTGTGCCTTTTACAATAAGGGTGGTTGTGTTGAGGGCAAGGAACGAGAAAATACAATAAGGAATTGGAGGAGGGCAATGCACAGGCAATTCAATAAAATACGGTACAAAAAAGGCTGAGGGCAAGGCACAGGACAATTCAGTAAAATACGGTACATAAAAGGCTGAGGGCAAGACACAGGGCAGTTCAGTAAAATATGGTACAAAAAAGGCTGAGGGCAAGGCACAGGGTAATTCAGTAAAATACGGTACAAAAAGGCTGAACAAAAAAGGCTGAGGGCAAGGCACAGGACAATTCAGTAAAATGCTGAGGGCAAGACACATGGTAATTCAGTAAAATATGGTACAAAAAAGGCTGAGGGCAAGGCACAGGGTAATTCAGTAAAATACGGTACAAAAAGGCTGAGGGCAAGGCACAGGGCAATTCAGTAAAATACGGTACAAAAAAGGCTGAGGGCAAGGCACAGGACAATTCAGTAAAATACGGTACAGAAAAGGCTGAGGGCAAGACACAGGGCAATTCAGTAAAATACGGTACAAAAAAGGCTGAGAGCAAGGCACAGGACAATTCAGTAAAATATGGTACAAAAAAAAAGCTGAGGGCAAGGCACAGGACAATTCAGTAAAATACGGTACAGAAAAGGCTGAGGGCAAGGCACATGGCAATTCAGTAAAATACAGTACAAAAAAAGGCTGAGGGCAAGACACATGGTAATTCAGTAAAATACAGTACAGAAAAGGCTGAGGGCAAGACACAGGACAATTCAGTAAAATACAGTACAGAAAAGGCTGAGGGCAAGACACATGGCAATTCAGTAAAATACGGTACAAAAAAGGCTGAGGGCGAGGCACAGGACAATTCAGTAAAATATGGTACAAAAAAAGCTGAGGGCAAGGCACAGGGCAATTCAGTAAAATACGGTACAAAAAAAGGCTGAGGGCAAGACACAGGCAAATTCAGTAAAATACAGTACAAAAAAGGCTGAGAGCAGCACGGGAAGATACTGTTAAAAATAAGCTAAGGTTGACTTTAAAATGATTCCAATAGTAATGATTTAGCTTCACGTGGGGGTCAAACTATCATTTTACGTATGACTGAGGCGAGGGCCCAGACTTAGCGTATACGGTTACCTTGGTTACGGAGATTTCATTTCCTCATTTATTCTGGAATATACGTCTGCCATTAGTTTGTTATCATTGAACGATTAAATAAGATTAACGTGGAGAACGCTATCGAAAATGAGGAAATGTAAATCCAATATGTTTATGGAATTTATTATTATACAGATCGGGCTTGTTTGCGTGTCAACGCAGTCCATCTTACGAAATTACTAAGGCCAAAACCAAAACATGTGTTTCAGGTAACATGCCAGAAAAAATTGGGCAAGTCGGTAGGTAAATAATTTTCTTTCAATTTTTTTTTTCATTTTCATGGATCAATATTATCGATTTTATATCAAATTTTATAATGCATATTTGTCAGGTTAAGCTGTAAAGACATTGGGTCAGGCTCCCAAAAGCCAGAACAGGAAGAACGTGTGTTTAAATGAGTGATTGTAAGCTTTGCCTGGCTGATGAATTAATCTTGGATACAAGTAAGTGTTAAAATGATCTAAGGTCGGCAGGAAAATGTAGGGTAGGTTGGGAACCTGAAACGTGTATAGTTTTTTTCGCCCAGTTGCCCAATACAAACCCGTTCGACATTGGTAAATTTTTAGATAGGTATTTATCATTAAATTAGTGCTACGTCTGCAAATAATCGATTGCAACAAACGTATTTGGACATTTACGCTTGGGGAAACGATATTACAAAGAACTTTATTTTGATGGTCATAAATAATATTCCGGTAATAATTACATTAATGGCCTATTACTGGGCGTTAGATAAGGTTATCTTTGTATATTGTGTTCTACTAAAAATAGCTACACATAGATCACTATTTACAAATAACTTCACATGTAAGATGTCACGTATCCAGTTTTAAGATACAATCCTGTTCTCTGTCTGAAAAGGCGTAGTAGAAGTAATGAGCATGGTTGACTATAATATATATGATTAATTGAATACAAGTGCACGTTTTCGGAAAAAATATATTTGGTGTTTTTTTTAACAACATCTTTCCAGCGAAAGAATGACTGTTAAAGTGAGATTATAAATAGTCTATTTATACATGTTTTCCGTTACATAAACATGACATTATGAAACAATCACAACGTGAAACCCGGCGGAATAGTTGTTATAAACATTTAAAACATCGCTCGCAACTGACAAATGATTTAACTTCACCCCAGCTGACTTACGTCATTAACTTCGAGACTTTCGCCAGAATTATATTCTAATGAAAACAATAATAATACGACAGCGTGTAACAATGTAAACTATATGACCGGGTTTGGAAATATTCGATTAACTATGCATACATGTATTTTGTATATATTAAGAGTACAGTTCATGTAATCAGAGATATATAAAGCCATGCAGTATATACGTCGTCTCTGATGCTATAACGCTATAAATAATCATTTTCTGTGCGAGTCCCATAGGATAAATATTTTTTTTGAAAAATATTGAATTTTTATAGAAACAATGCTGAAAAATCCACAGATTATTGTATTTATCATGTTTAAGTCAGATATAATATTTCAGTTAGGCTTATTATATAAAGTCTAATTAAAAAATATAGAATTTATTCTTCCCGCTAACGATAATTTGGTTTGTGGTGTAAACATTATTATTCAAAGTAAGATGAAGACATGAATGTATAAGTTGCTAACAGGCAGTAAACAGCTATCTTAGCCAAGTTACATCCTGTGTTTTCGCAACATGAGGAAACATACGGTTCATGAACCAAGACCTTGTGACGTGGCTAAACGTCACGATTACAGGTCAAATATGTGAACACCCTTTATCCATATATAGGCATGTGAGTAGAGTTTCCCAAGGAATCCCCTTGTCGTCATAATACTTATCAACCAATAAAAAGACATTATTACAAGCTATATTCAAATCAAGGCAAGGTGCCCGAGGAGTTCCGATAGAGAATTTTCCCTCAATGACGAACAACGCATGTCGGATGTAGAAAAGTAGTCCTTCTACGCACATGGTGTGTTTGAATGCATTATTATAAAGTTAAGCTGTTTAAAGTTATAAATGGGTGAATATTATAGAACCATTATTTAATATAAAGTATATGTCTTTATTGCATAGCTAAATTATGAGATAGTTTTTCGTCGCAAATTACGCGGATTAATATATCGTATTATATGCTTGCAATACACGTTGCCAATAAGCACAATGGCGACTTCAGCTAGTGGATACCTTGAAGGATATTGAGGGGAGGGTTGGTACGATTGTGCCCTTCCCAAGGAGCTAAAGAGAGTGTGCTGGATACCGGAAAGTGAAGAAGAACACGAAGAAAAAGATTGATCAATATCCGAAATTGTAAGGTAACAGAAAACAAGATTTTAACAAACAACGTAATAGCCGGTAGGTGAACCCAGCTCGTTGAGTAATCATTATTCGAGCTACGCATTTCGTCATCTGTTGTAACACGTTGACGGGACACATCGCAATAAATGCTCAAATTAACACACGTTGAGCAAGAGCACACTCTCTAAGGGAAATAAGATAGAAGATTATTGACAAAGGACTATGATTTCGATTTGTGATTTGGAATGACCGCACGTGCGAAAACAGGACTACGTCAACTGCCATACTGTCTGTGATATTGATGTTTTCATAATTTAACGTCATTTTATTGAACATTCCGTTTTAATCGGCGTTCATGTCTAGATTTGTGTATCATTTCAACGTGGACAAAGAACCAGCTTTCACGCATACGGCATTTTGAATCATCCCGTTGGCCACATCAGTTTTGCTTTGTCCATTGTGATCCGGAAGAGCCCACCTTCAGCCTGACTCACCAAAAACAAAGAGGCAGTCGTTCATAGGCATTGTTTTCAAGTGAAAATATTATCGAGTGAAGGGTACATAGTTTGTATCGCTTTAGGAAACACTAGGAGGTTCTGTCACATCCTTTCGTGAGAGAACGGAGTATATATGAGCCTTACAGGAAGCCGGCCCAGACTTTGTATACCGAGTCATGGGCCACGAAAGAAAGACTATTATGACGCTACCTCCAACCTAGGAGTACAAGGGGCTCTTAGTCCAGACCTTCAGCCCTCCCAACCCCTCTTTCCAGAGAAATACGAACAATCCAATGTTTCTAAAATTGGGAAATATTTATTATTGGACCAAATTGAAGGGGACACTTATAAAGCTGTGAATTGGCAAACCAAGGATGAATATGTTTGCAAGGTTGGTATTTGATTTGTGGTGATTTAGTTATTAGTAATATGTTTCCACTGTTGGTATGTGTTGTGTGAAAGTATGCATGTGTGTTTTAGTTTATTACACCAAATATCAAAATTTCATTTAGTTTTCAGGACTGGGCGAGTTGAAACAGCACTAATCAAACGCTGTTACATCATCTCGAGTAATCATTTCCTAGCCTTATGGTCACCCCATGTGGATTGGGTGCCAATTTAGGGTGATTAGATTGTGTATGTGTCACGACCCTGGAGTTACTACACTCACACATGCTTAGTACCCTGGGGTTTAAGGATGTGTGCTCACAGAATGATCTAATCGCTGGACCGGTATGGTAGAGGTTGGAGAGTTCATTACCAGCTGTTCTGCCAAGAATATTGTACATCATGACAAGATCATCAAGGGAATGTGTGTGTAGTTTATAAATAGGTTGTAGCTGATTCATATAGTAAATATAGTACAAGTTCCTGCTACTAGCAGCATTTTGCAGGGCTTCCTGAACAAATTTATAGCAGATTTTTTTAATGCCTCTGCTGTGTATTGTGTTCAAACCAATCTTTCTGATACTCCCTTTCATTAGGCTTTGTTTCTGAGTTTACATTTCATTTATAAAAAAAACTTAATTTATTTGCATATTAAAGTACCATATTTTCTGTACATGCTCTTTAAGAAACACACTATTTTAAAACAATTAGTGTAGAACGTTGTACCCCCTGACAGAACTAGTACTACTTTAATAAATTTTAGGTCTTGCAACACATTTTATTTTTAACATTTAGTATAAAACTGATGTATTTTTGTGAAGTTTTAAATGCAACTACCCCATCCTCCTCAGAATAAGTTGGATCTGTTTTCCGCAGGCCTTTGTCTGCAGGAGAGACCAGGTGCCTTGCATTTCCTGGTCTGGCTAATGATCAAGCCCACAAAACAATAGGCATTGTCTCGGCCTGGTGTACATGTGATCAGCCCCCACATGTGTGGCAATACACTGTGTGGTCACAATTCTATCTTACTTCTGCAGCCTTTATATGTATATATACATACATATTATGCATCAGCATGATTCACCGACATCCTATAGGGGGCAGGTGTGTACCATTGATTACAGGTACACACAGGTATCGGCTGGTTATATACCTGGCCGCCATATGAGTCATCACTCAGAAGGTCTCCACATCAGGGCTTTGTTCACTTTGGCGGGGGTGCATATTATTGTTCATAGAAAGGCATTTTGTGCACAAATTAGAATTCTGATTTTATAAAATATTTCTCTGGGTTTAGTTTATCATTGCGGCTGCAATGGAAGCCCAAAAATTAAGTATCTGGTTTCAAAATTTAGTGTCGGGACCTACATTTATTGAAGCTAATAAAATTCCTGGTCCTCAACCATTTAATCATGGCAGCTCAGGCTTTATGTACACAGGCTTGAGTGAGACATGGGAAGTATCTGTCAGTCTTATCAACTTCCTGGTAGTGGCAGGTACACACGAAGACAACAAATTATACCTAGATAAAGTGCTTATTGATTGGCAATACACAACCCACTGCTATCTTACCTGGGGTCTATATCATGCAACTGTACAGTTTTCAGTTGACAAGGAAGTAAGGTACTGTAGTTCGTTAAAGGGTATGGTGACCCAATTACTAGGTAGTTGGTAATGTAGGTCATAGTTTTGTTTTATTGAGGAAGTACATGTGAAGGATATCTATATATAGAATAATTGTTTTGAACAAGATTCAACCTGTCAAAGAATATAGATGCAGGAAATAGTTCTTGGAAAATAATATGATTTGGAGCTCGAGTGTTCGGACAATGAAATATTCAGAGATGCTTTTTGTTGGAAAAGGAGTGCCAAGCTGGTTACAAGGAATGGTTAGACTTAGAGGTTGTCTAAGGCTAGGAGTGGCTGATAGATCTGTATACATTGTCCTGCGGGATTCCATCATTCCTGGTGGCATCATGTTAGGAGTGCCACTCCGGTATTGACCTGATAATGGTAGCCTGTGAAGTTGTGCCGCGAGCCCTGTTGTACATTATTACAGATGGTTCCATCTACTCCTGTGAATGAAAACTGGGGAATTGATTTTTCCTACTCCCGCCATATCCCCTACCACAGTTTTTCTCTCATTGAGGAGTTGAGTCCTTTGTGCAGAAAACTCCCAGTGTCGGAATTTATGCCAACAGGCAGGAACACCACTGGTTGGTGAATGAGGGCGTAAAATCAAATGGTATAATGTTGACGGGGTCGAGGCAATCCTAGTTCTATACACCAGCATGTTTATAAATAGAATTTGGTACAGCTGTCTCAGGTAGAATATTGATGATTGTAATCACATGATCATCTTTGTTATCTTTCTTTGGTGTTGGTTGACAGCATTCTGCCAAAGTTACGACTTGTACCATGATAAATAAATGGTTTGGTGAACTGATGAGGTTGCAAGAGTATACTCCCACCATTCATGACTCATTGCAAACATAAATTTGAATATTAGATGCAGAATTTGTTGAAATATTTGGATAGAAATGGCCAAATATGAATACATTAGAACATAAATATTAGCTTTAGACTAGAGCATCTTCCATGCATGCTAAGGTTGTAGATAAAACAACACTATTAATGTACCATACTTGTTGTCAGAACATAACTCGTCTTGTTATATTTAGACACAGTCACTGTGAAAGATTATATAACCAAAACAGTGGTGTGAATAAATAGTCCCACTTCAAGTGTAACAAGTGTATGTATGGAAATAATAACATCAAGAAGCATGGGAATCAATTTTTTCCTACTTTGCAGCTGATGTTGCTGTGACGTTAATTTGTGTTGTTTGTCCTTGTAGATTTTCCAGATCAATCGATACAGAGAAGAGCTGGAAACCTACTGGCAGGTGGATTGTCATCCAAACATCAGCAGTATCAGCGAGATAACGCTCGGCGAGACTAAAGCATATGTGTTTTTTGAGCGCAATTATGGCGATCTACACTCGTATGTGCGTCAGAAGAAGCGCCTGAAGGAAGAGGAGGCCAGTCGACTGTTTGAACAGATCTCGGATGCAGTGTATCACTGTCATGAAAACGGCATTGTCCTGCGAGACCTGAAGCTTCGCAAATTTGTCTTCAAAAACCCAGAAAGGTACAAATGAGTTTTGAATTATTAAATTGTTCATATTGAATACATTTTTAATAAAAAAAAAACCGCAAACACCCTACAGGAATAGAGGAATTAAATGAAGCTAGTGCTGCTACACCGTCACAACACTTTTACAAATTTTGATGGTTGATAGTATCAATGTCTTCATATCTCCTAAAGCGATAGTTTTATAAATGGTACTGTGCAGACGTAAAGTTTAACTGTATCTTTCGCACAAGGAGCACAAACAGTCAAATTTTAAGTGTCTTCTAATTTCGTTCGGGATGCAGGTTTTTAAAAGAGACCAGCTCTTACACTGATGCTCTAAAATTCTAATACACGTGACACGTCATAATACAAGGCAAGCTAAGACTTAAAGGGAGTTACCTAAGATAAACATGGATATAATCTGTTTTCAACAGTCAGACCTAGGACTAGGTAGTATGGACTGTTATCACTGGCCTATTTTACCGTCGGTTCTGGGTGTGGCTCATTTCAGCACATGCTGATCAGCAGATAGGACAATGTGTTGAGCCTGAGGGCTGGTTATATTTATCTCACTTTTACATGTGTGCATCCCTATAAATTTATCATCATCATTACATTAATTTCACATTCCAAATCTTGCCTACAGAAGTCGTAACTGTATTATGTTCCACCCAGCTCCACCCAGTCGAAGGCAATGAAATTGCCGGTCCATTGCAAAAATTTAGGTAGCTCCACCCAAACGTTTGTAGTTAAATGTACAACGCCCATGTTACTTGTCTCTTATTTACTTTGCTAGGAGCTAAAGAGACCACACCCATCCGGCAATGAACCTTAACCCTGTATGCAGGCACAAGCTTGTAGCAGGAATGTATAATATTACTGGCCATTCAGTTGTTAAACTTATCTCGCACTTTCCATAATCACTTATCACTACCCTATGGCGTTAAGTATTTTGACGTTAAACTTCAATAGTTCTAGTAGAGCTGTGTACATTGTAAGGTGCCTAGGCTTTTTGCCGACTGACTAGAATCTATTTTAAGACTTGTTTACCGCAGAATGTACCTGTGGCCCAGATAGCATGAATCAGTCAGGCGAACAAAAACACTGGCTGCTTGCGTCAGCGATACGCTTCCCTACGTCACAGGGCCATTAGGATATACGATGGACATAAAATATACATACGAAAACAGTCTGTTTATACGTATAAATGTCTACCGGTACATAGCACAGTAATGCCACTTGGATTTTAATGATTTTTGAAAGTGAGACCTAAAAATCTTTGAAAATGAGTCCTAGGTGCACCGTTATGTTCTGCCTTGTGATTTGCCTGGGCTGAAGGGAGGGTTTTACTATCAACAGTTGATTTCATGAATTTATTTGTTCAGGCTGAGGAATATGGAGATACAATTTATTTTTCCAAATATCTGGTAACTACTTTATGTGAAATTCAGGAGATCTGAATAAAAATTGTCAAGTAATTCTATTGGGAAGATTGTGCAATGCTCCACTTTATACAGTATATGATTACAATACAATCAATGATACAAATGCCTAGCTTACACTTCACATATTGACTAGTGGATTTCTGGTCACTACAGGGAGCTGGTGGGAGGAAGTGATTACAACAGGAAATGATAATAAACTTGGTCTGGGCTGTAAGGTTAGAGGTTAAAACTATAGCTAATGTATACATAATTGCTTGGGGCGTTGTCTTAATTAGTCTGTACAGGCAGAATGACAAGTGACACGCCACAGCACTGTCCCAGATTTCAAATAAGTTTATCAATCCTTTGTTTAAAAATGCGAAGGGAAATGTAGAAGATCAATCATCCAGCGTTGTAAATGGGCGTGACCCGTACAGTATGTAAGGCACGTCTAGCGTGTGATAACGTTTAGTGATGTGGGGTGCACCTTGTTAGCTAATTTACAAGTCACGATGTTACTACCTTGACACATGTGTACAGGTGGATCACAGGTATGGTGTGTGTTAATTTACAGGTACTAAGTACAGCTATTTCCCCCAAGGGGACACGCCCATAGATAGAGATCTGAGATACAAAGGTCATACAGTTATAGTATCTTGTCATGTGTCATTTGTATAACCAGGGCATTGCATTAGTGCCAGTGCAAGTGTCACCGACAGGGGAACCAGTTCTGTGTAACAGCACTGCTTCATGTGGACTTGTTTACATACAAATTTTAAATTAAACATAATGCCAGATAATTACATATTGATCATGATGCATGCAGCATTACTGAATTAAAAGCTGTTATTATAACTTATTACAATGTTGTCCTAAATATATAAAATCAGTTTTATAATAACTTCGTACTTAACAATATAATTAGCGGTACACTGGGTAAGTCTCACTGCCAGTGAACTTACACAATCCATGTACTTAATACATTACACAAATCTGTGAAATCTACATTATTTCTGTAGTTTGTGAAATCTACATGTAACTTTCATTTGTTTGTGAAATCTACATTATTTCTGTAGTTTGTGAAATCTACATGTAACTTTCATTTGTTTGTGAAATCTACATGTAACTTTCATTTATTTGTGAAATCTACATGTAACTTTCATTTATTTGTGAAATCTACATGTAACTTTCATTTGTTTTGTGAAATCTACATGCAACTTTCATTTGTTAGTGAAATCTACATGTAACTTTCATTTGTTTGTGAAATCTACATGTAACTTTCATTTATTTCTGAAATCTACATGTAATTTTAATTTATTTGTGAAATCTACATGTAACTTTTATTTGTTTGTGAAATTAACATGTAACTTTCATTTGTTTGTGAAATCTACATAACATGTTTGTGAAATCTACATAACATTATAGTTGCTCTGGCTATTAGTATTATGTTGGAAAGTGTATACATTTATGTTTTAACATTACAGAATATACAACATAGAAATCATGAGGGCATCACAAATTAATAGCAATGCATTTTTCTGTTCAATTTAAATTATGATAAATTATTTCAAATTTTTGTTATTTTGTATCTTCCAGGACTCAGTTGCGATTGGATGGTCTAGAGGATGCTTGTGTGTTGGAAGATGAGGCTGATGACCGATTGGCAGACAAACATGGCTGTCCAGCATATGTAAGCCCGGAGATCCTACATACCAGTGATACCTACTCTGGTCGGTCTGCAGATATCTGGAGCCTTGGTGTGATGCTGTACACCATGTTGGTGGGACGGTACCCATTCCACGACTCGGAGCCTAGTGCATTATTCGGGAAAATACGCCGTGGGCAGTTTACTGTACCCCAGATGTTATCATCAAAAGCAAAATGTCTGATAAAAAGTCTGCTGAGACGCGAACCAACAGAGCGACTTACGGCTGGGGAGGTTCTACAGCACCCCTGGGTACAAGGTACCCTTCCCATTGGATTCATGACCATCGTAGACCATAAAAATCTAGATCAGACGGTTCCTAGTGTCATCCTACATGAACCAGAGGACGATTTCTTCGTATGAGCTGGGGCAGTTTTCTGTAGATTTTTTTTACATGAAGTTGCCAAGTTTTATGACTGACTTTTAGAAAAATATATATAATTAACAGATAACAACTTGCAAGGAACAATGCATTGAATTGAATTACCATTTTGTGAGGAGAAAAATATAGGACATCCTGTATCGAGAAAAAACTTTAAAATTGCCAGCAATATGTGCAGAATCAGATAATGAATGGACCCAGAATCGCCCAAGGAAAACATTTATTTAAAGGAAAATTCAGCTTTACCAGGAGTACTGATAATAAAATTGATGCACAATTGTATCCATGTCTGCTGTGTAGACAATTGGATTCATACGTTGGAGTCCAAAAGTCTGGCATCAGACAGGGCACATCCAGAGACTCCAGTAACTTCCACCTGTTCTGCAGAATATACGGGTAAAATGTCATCAATTACAACAGCTGGGCAAACAGTTGTGTTTGGCGAAGTGTTTGACTTGTAAATTGGCGATTTTAATCTGCTGGTAAACGTTTTCTGATAGGGACACGACAACAAGTGTTGTGTAAACACTTTTTTATTTATAATAATCATATCACTAGTTGGTGAGGATACGAGTTGTTCAAGGCAGCTGCAATATCGGACAACATCTGTTGTTGGTGGGTTCTTCTCCGAGCTCATGGCCAGTCTAGTTTCATAAACAGGAGAAGTGACAATAACAAAAAAATTGTAAAAATTGTGACTTTAATAAAAAAAGAAAAAAAAGAAACAAAGAAACATAGTTTTTCTCTCTCCGTGAGATGTGCCAAGCACTATGTGTTAGTTGTGGTAGCGTGGAGCGTGTGTTTAGATGTGTGTTTAGACATGTGAAAGTTATCATACATGGACGGACGATATTTGTGTTTTTAATGGCAAATCACTACCATTGTTGTGTGTGTGTGGTGTTATATTTCAGAGTGAATAAGTGTTGTCTATATGGGTATATGTGTTTACAAGTGTCTATTAGATTCAGTTATAACTTATTTCATTTTATTGCAAACAATGCGAGCTATTATGGTATTTCTACCAGAAGGGACCGTTAGCTACATATTCCTATAAATATTTTAATGTTAGCAAGTGCTACACATGTACTAACATATTCATAGTTTGTTGTAACAGACTATTATATTGTTTACTTATAACAAAAGTTCTTGATTTTTACCATCATTTGAATTAATTTCTATATGAAATGAAACAAGCTGAAATTTGAGCTCAAGTAAGCAGATTGATTTGACTGACTAGGGGTTTAATGAGTGGCCTTTATATTTCTCTTGTTTCAACATTTCGTAAAAGATCATATGCTGGATTATAAATTTCTTATTTATTTCATGCGTTAATATTTTTGATATCCAAGTTTTGCGATATCCAAAATGGGCAGACTATTTATTTGAGTGTTACATTGAAACCCTGTACCTTGTGTTGTGACAGTGCCGTAATGCCATCCCCTGAAAGTTGTCTCCCCTTATTTTCCATCTCTTTGTCCTAGAAACCAGTATTAATCATCTGTATGAATGGAAGAAACGAGGTGACTGCAAACAAAGAAAACAAAGAAACGAGAGAGAACACCAGTTATATTTGGATATATATTGTCAGATTGTAAGATATTCTGTCTTTAATTTAAAACAGCCGATGGGTTTATAACCAGTGAAACGTTTGTTACTTATTTTCCATGGTATTTTACGTTGATAGAAAACACATGACCTCGCTTCATGTTAAAACATTTAGCAAGCGTTATGGTTTGTTTTCGAAATAAAACTTGAAAAACTGAAATCCTTGTGTTTGTTTTGATGTTGTTTTATTGTGAGAAGATACTACCGGCTTCTTTACCCTAGGGTAGGAATAATTGTAATAATGATATTTGTTAATTCAACTGTTGGTATTGTCCCAGAAACATGATATATTTTAGTCGGTTCAGCAGGTTAACTATGCATACTTGCCAACTCTCCCTATTTTGGAGGGAGACTCCCAATTTTGAACCCTAAAATTGTGCATTTGTAGCCCACCATCAGATGATGGTGAGCTATTCAAATCACCCTGCGTCCGTGGTCCAATATCCGTCCGTCGTCTGTCTTTAAACAATTCTTGTCATCAATATTTCTCGGGAAGTACTAGAGGGATCTTTCTTAAATTTTACATGCATGTTCCCCTTGGTCCTTAGTTTTGCAGGGCAACTTTTGAGACAACATTGCCGACAGGCAGCCATCTTGGATTTTGATAGTGAAGGTTTGTTATCACTATTTTTCAGAAAGTACTAGAGGGATCTTTCTCGAATTCATATATGTAGGTTCCCCTTGGTCCCTAGTTGTGCAGGTCAACTTTTGAGACTGATCAGATAAACAACATGGCCGATAGGCAGCCATCTTGAATTTTGACAGTGAAGGTTTGTTATGTCTATTTCTCAGGAAGTACAGAAGAGATCAATCTTAAATTACATATGTAGGTTCCCATTTGTCCCTAGTTGAGCATGATTAATTTTGAGACTGATCGGATGTAGGGAATTGCTGATAGGCCACCATCTTGGATGTGACATTAAAGGTTTGTTATCACTATTTCTCAGGAAGTATTTGAGGGATCTTTCTCAAATTTGATATGCAGGTTTTCCTTGGTCCCTCATTGTGCAGGTTAACTTTTGAGTGTATCTAGTGACGGATAATATGACAGTGTATCTAGAGACTGATAACATGACAGTGTATCTAGTGACTTCTGGTTGTAGTGACTGATAACATGACAGTGCATCTAGTGACGGATAGCATGACGGTGAATCTAGTGACTGATAACATGACAGTGTATCTAGTGACCTCTGGTTGTAGTGACTGATACCATGACAGTGTATTTAATGACTTATGGTTGTAGTGACTTATGACATGACAATGTATCTAGTGACGGATAACATGACAGTGTATCTAGTGACTGATAACATGACAGTGTATCTAGTGGCCTCTGGTTGTAGTGACTGATACCATGACAGTGTATTTAATGACTTATGGTTGGAGTGACTTATGACATGACAATGTATCTAGTGACGGATAACATGACAGTGTATCTAGTGACTGATAACATTACAGTGTATCTAGTGACTGATACCATGACAGTGTATTTAGTGACTGATAACATGACAGTGTATCTAGTGACCTCTGGTTGTAGTGACTGATAACATGAAAGTGTATCTAGTGACTGATAACATGACAGTGTATCTAGTGACCTCTGGTTGTAGTGACTGATACCATGACAGTGTATTTAATGACTTATGGTTGTAGTGACTTATGACATGACAAAGTATCTAGTGACGGATAACATGACAGTGTATCTAGTGACTGATAACATGACATTGTATCTAGTGACTGAATACATGACAGTGTATCTTGTGACAGATAACATGACAGTGTATCTAGTGACAGATAACATGACAGTGTATCTAGTGACAGATAACATGACAGTGTATCTAGTGACGGATAACATGACAGTGTATCTAGTGACTGATAACATGACAGTGTATCTAGTGACTGATACCATGACAGTGTATCTAGTGACTGATACCATGACAGTGTATTAAGTGACTGATAACATGACAGTGTATTTAGTGACTGATAACATGACAGTGTATCTAGTGACTGATAACATGACATTGTATCTAGTGACTGAATACATGACAGTGTATCTAGTGACAGATAACATGACAGTGTATCTAGTGACAGATAACATGACAGTGTATCTAGTGACGGATAACATGACAATGTATCTAGTGATGGATAACATGACAGTGTATCTAGTGACTGAATACATGACAGTGTATCTAGTGACTGATACCATGACGGTGTATCTAGTGACTGATAACATGACAGTGTAACTAGTGACTGATACCATGACAGTGTATCTAGTGACTGATAACATGACATTGTATCTAGTGACTGAATACATGACAGTGTATCTAGTGACAGATAACATGACAGTGTATCTAGTGACAGATAACATGACAGTGTATCTAGTGACGGATAACATGACAATGTATCTAGTGATGGATAACATGACAGTGTATCTAGTGACTGAATACATGACAGTGTATCTAGTGACTGATAACATGACAGTGTATCTAGTGACTGATAACATGACAGTGTATCTAGTGACTGATAACATGACAGTGTATCTGGTGACTGATTACATGACAGTGTATCTACTGACCTCTGGTTGTAGTGACTGATAACATGACAGTGTATCTAGTGACTGATAACATGACAGTGTATCTAGTGACTGATAACATGACAGTGTATCTAGTGACTGATAACATGACAGTGTATCTAGTGACTGATAACATGACAGTGTATCTAGTGACTGATAACATGACAGTGTATCTAGTGACTGATAACATGACAGTGTATCTAGTGACTGATAACATGACAGTGTATCTAGTGACTGATAACATGACAGTGTATCTAGTGACTGATAACATGACAGTGTATCTAGTGACTGATAACATGACAGTGTATCTAGTGACTGATAACATGACAGTGTATCTAGTGACTGATAACATGACAGTGTATCTAGTGACTGATAACATGACAGTGTATCTAGTGACTGATAACATGACAGTGTATCTAGTGACTGATAACATGACAGTGTATCTAGTGACTGATAACATGACAGTGTATCTAGTGACTGATAACATGACAGTGTATCTAGTGACTGATAACATGACAGTGTATCTAGTGACTGATAACATGACAGTGTATCTAGTGACTGATAACATGACAGTGTATCTAGTGACTGATAACATGACAGTGTATCTAGTGACTGATAACATGACAATGTATCTAGTGACTGATAACATGACAGTGTATCTAGTGACTGATACCATGACAGTGTATTTAGTGACTTCTGGTTGTAGTGACTGATACCATGACAGTGTATCTATTGATGGATAACATGACAGTGTATCTAGTGACTGATTACATGATAGTGTATCTAGTGACTGATACCATGACAGGGTATCTAGTGACTGATAACATGACAGTGTATCTGGTGACTGATAACATGACAGTGTATCTAGTGACTGATAACATGACAGTGTATCTAGTGACTGATAACATGACAGTGTATCTAGTGACAGATAACATGACAGTGTATCTAGTGACTTCTGGTTGTAGTGACTGATAACATTACAGTGTATCTAGTGACTAATGGTTGTAGTGACTGATAATATGACAGTGTATCTAGTGACTTCTGGTTGTAGTGACTGATAACATGACAGTGTATCTAGTGACTGATAACATGACAGTGTATCTAGTGACTTCTGGTTGTAGTGACTGATAATATGACAGTGTATCTAGTGACTAATGGTTGTAGTGACGGATAATATGACAGTGTATCTAGTGACCTCTTGTTGTAGTGACTGATAACATGACATTTTATTTACTGACTTCTGGCTGTAGTGACTGGTTACATGACAGTGTATCTGGTGACTGATTACATGACAGTGTATCTAGTGACCTCTGGTTGTAGTGACTGATAACATGACAGTGTATCTAGTGACTGATAACATGACAGTGTATCTAGTGACTTCCGGTTGTATTGATGGGTTACATGACAGTGTATCTAGTGACTTATGGTTGTAGTGACTGATAACATGACAGTGTATCTAGTGACGGATTACATGACAGTGTATCTAGTGACTGATAACATGACGGTGTATCTAGTGACTGAATACATGACAGTGTATCTAGTGACTGATAACATGACGGTGTATCTAGTGACTGAATACATGACAGTGTATCTAGTGACTGATAACATGACGGTGTATCTAGTGACTGAATACATGACAGTGTATCTAGTGACTGATAACATGACAGTGTATCTAGTGACAGATTACATGACAGTGTATCTAGTGACTTATGGTTGTAGTGACTGATAATATGACAGTGTATCTAGTGACTAATGGTTGTAGTGACGGATAATATGACAGTGTTTCTAGTGACCTCTTGTTGTAGTGACTGATAACATGACAGGGTATCTAGTGACCTCTGGTTGTAGTGACTGATAACATGAAAGTGTATCTAGTGACTGATAACATGACAGGGTATCTAGTGACGGATTACATGACAGTGTATCTAGTGAACTCTGGTTGTAGTGACTGATAACATTACAGTGTATCTAGTGACTAATGGTTGTAGCGAAGGATAATATGACAGTGTTTCTAGTGACCTCTTGTTGTAGTGACTGATAACATGACAGGGTATCTAGTGTTGGATAACATGACAGTATATCTAGTGACGGATAACATGAAAGTATATATAGTGACGGATAACATCACCGTGTATCTAGTGACTTATGGTTGAAGTGACTGATAGCATGACAGTGTATCTAGTGACGGATAACATGAAAGTATATATAGTGACGGATAATATGACAGTGTTTCTAGTGACCTCTTGTTGTAGTGACTGATAACATGAAAGTGTATCTAGTGACTGATAACATGACAGTGTATCTCGTGACTGATTACATGACAGTGTATCTAGTATCTATTGATGGATAACATGACAGTGTATCTATTGACCGATAACATGACAGGGTATCTAGTGACGGATAACATGACAATGTATCTAGTGATGGATAACATGACAGTGTATCTAGTGACTTCTGGTTGTAGTGACTGATAACATGAAAGTGTATCTAGTGACTGATAACATGACAGGGTATCTAGTGTTGGATAACATGACAGTATATCTAGTGACGGATAACATGACAATGTATCTAGTGATGGATAACATGACAGTGTA